GAACTTCTCGGTCATTATTATTTCAAATAGTTCTTGTATTTTTTTCTCTTTTTCTTCTTCCTCTGTTATTCCCATTATGGTCATTTATGCCTTTTGCAGTTGTCCCACAGTCTTTGAGTATTCTGCTCTGTTTTTTTCAGATTTTATTCTCTTTGCTTTTTCAGTGTTCACAGTTTATACTAATATGTCTCAAGCTTAGAGATTCTTCCCTTAGCTGTGTCCAGTCTACTACTAAGTTTATCCAAGACATTCTTCATTTCTGTTATAGTGTTTCTGATCTCTAGTATTTCTAGTATTTGGTTATTTTTTAGGGTTTCCACCTCTGTGCTTATATTGCCCATCTGTTCTTGCATGCTGTCTACGTTATCCATTAGAGCACTTAGCATATTCATCATAGTTGTTTTAAATTCCCAGGCTGATCATTTCAACATTCCTGCCATATCTGGTTCTGATGCTAGCTCTCTCTCTTCAAACTGTGTTTTTTGCCTTTTAGTGTGCCTTACAATTTTTTCATTATAGCTGAACATGATGTACTGTGTAAAACGGACTGCAGTAAATAGGCCAGTAGTAATATGGTGGTAGGAGCGAGTGGAGGGGAAGCCTTTTATAGTTTTGTGCTTAGGTCTCAGTCTTTTGGTGAATCTGTACATTTCATGTAAATTTTTCAGTTTCTTCTTAGGTGGAACAGGATGGCTAGAGTGGGCTGGAGTTTCCCCAAGTCATTTACGCTATGATAAAACCCCAACAGCCAGGCTCGGTGGCTCAGCCTGTAATCCCAGCACTTTGGGAGGTTGAGGCAAGTGGATTGCCTAAGCCCTCAGGTTCAAGACCAGTCTGAGCAACTTGGCAAGACCTCGTATCTACAATAGATAAGAAATTAGCCGGGCATCGTGCGCACCTGTAGTTCTAGCTACTTGGAAGGCTGAGGCAGAAGGATCGCCGGAGCCCAGCGGGTCAATGGTGAGGTGGCCATGAGTGTGCCACCACACTCCAATCTGGGTGACAGAGTGAGACTCCAACTCAAAAACAAAACAAAGCAAAACAAAAAACCCCCAACAGAGTAAGTTCTGGTTAAAGAGTTTCTCCTGAGGACAGACCTTGTGAAGAAGAACAGAGTGCTCTTATTTCAACATGGCTCTTTTTCTTCTCCCTCTTCTAGATGCAGGAAGGAATTCTTCTCAGGTTTTTACTGCAGGAACCTGGTTGAGCTCCTGAAGGTCAATCTTACAACTTTGAGGAGTGGTAGGGGGTGAGGACCCTGAGTTCTCCTGGAGCTTTTTTTTTTTTTTTTTTTTTTGAGTTGGAGTCTCACTCTGTCGCCCAGACTGGAGTGCAGTGGCCGTTTCCAGCCACCGCAGCCTCGACCTGCTGGGCTCTGGTGATCCTTCCGCCTGAGCCTTCCAAGTAGCTGGAACTACAGGCGTGCGCTACCACGCCTGGCTGATTTTTTTTTTATTTATTTATTATAGAGATGAGGTCTCGCTGCCCAGGCGGATCCCGAACCCGCAGGCTCAGGCAATCCACTCACCTTAGCCTCCCAAAGACATGGGATTACAGGCTGAGCCACCGAACCCGGCTCTCTTGGAACTTTTAACTCTTGAAGTTGTTCACACTAAACCTGCAGCAATTTGTCGGTTACAATTCGGGTTTTCCTCTGCAGATTTTTTTTTTTTTTGAGTTGGAGTCTCACTCTGTCACTCAGACGGCAGTGCAGTGGCCGCTCCCGGCCACCACAGCCTTGACCTGCTGGGCTCTGGCTATCTTTCCACCTCAGCCTTCCAAGTAGCTGGAACTACAGGCATGCGCTACCATGCCCTGCTGATTTTTTTGATTTATTGTAGAGATGAGGTCTCGCTGCCCAGGCAGCTCTCGAACCCATGGGCTCAGGCAGTCCACTCACCTCAGCCTCCCAAAGGCGTGGGATTACAGGCTGAGCCACTGAGCCTGGCCGCAGATATTTTTTTAAAGATCAATTCAAAAGCATGTTTGGTAAGTGAATAGAAGTGATGACTGGGAGATCAGAGATTGATGGTAGAGAACAAATAGAATAGTTAACTAAAAGAGCAAAATCCTTGAGAAGGGAGGATGGGGTTGGGAGCCAAGCAAGAGAGAGGCATTTGCTGTTGTCAGGAGGAGGGATGGATGTAGCTACAGGCATATTGTTTGAGATTTGGTGTTTTGTTTTGTTTTGTTTTGTTTCTTTTTTTGAGTATGGATATTTTTGAGGGCGAGGAGATTTGGTTTTTTAAAAAGGTATGGCTCACTGTAGCCAAGGGATGGAAGCAATTTAAGTGCATACCAGAGATGGATTGGCATACACACGCCATGGAGTGTCATTCAGCTTCGAAAAGAAGAAATCCTGTCATATGTTACAATGTGAATGAACCTGGAGAACATTATACTAAATGAAGTAAGTCACCACAAAAAGGCAAATACTGCATGATTCCACTTATCTGAGGAATCCAAACTAGTCAAACTCTTATACAGAAAGCAGAATGGTGGTTGCCAAAGGCTAGGGCGAGGGGGAAATGTGAAGTGCTATTCATGGATACAGAATTTCAACTTTGCAAGATGAAGATATGGCATATAGCAATGTGCGTACAGTTATCGGTGTCCATGGGGGATTGGTTACAGGACCCCCTCCCCGCCAAACCAAAATCCACTAGTGCTCAAGTTCCTCATATGAAATGGCATATATTTGCAAATAACCTATGTACATCCTCCCTGACACTTTAAGTCACTTTTAGATGTTTATAATACCTAATACAGTGCAAATGTCTTGTAAATAACTGTTATACAGTATCATTTAGGAAATAATGACAAGAAAACAGTCCATACATGTTCAGCACGGGCACACCTGTCAAAGCCCTAACTGCACAGTACACATCAGTAACAATGTAATACTTGTGATCCAGGTTGCTTGAATGTGAGGATGCGAAATCCAAGGATATGGAGGTCTGGAGGGCCCACTGTACGCTTACAAATGGTTAGGATGGTAAATTTTATGTTTTTGTCCACAAAAAAAGAAGACATGGCTCCTGCTTTCTCCATGAAACCCCCAACCAGGTCGTCAGCAGAGAGCAAGAGTGAGTCTTGGTGGGCACAGGTGGTTTGGGAATGTCCCTGCTGGGCTCATGTCAGGCTTCGTATAGATTCTTTGAGGTCAGGCTTTTGCTGAAGCTCTGCAGGTAGACCACCCCACTTGCGTTGTTAAAAAGTCAGACTTCATCGTGACCCGCCTGGGCAATTTGGCGAGACTTCATCTCGACAATAAATCAAAAATGGCCGGGTGTGGTAGCGCGCGCCTGTAGTTCCAGCTACTCGGAAGGCAGAGGCGGAAGGATCGCCAGAGCCCAGCAGGTCGAGGCTGCGGTGGCTGGGAGCGGCCACTGCACTCCAGTCTGGGCGACAGAGTGAGACTCCAACTCAAAAAAATAAAAATAATTAATTAATTAATTAATTAATTAAATTAATTAAATAAGCATACATACATGAAAAACAAAGCAATCCAAAGCTGCTTGGATGAAAGTATGGGTGGTGGTGTGCCCAGACTCGTGCCTACTCCCTTTTACATACACATGTTCTCTGAGAGCCACAAGTGGACTCAGATATTTCCAGAGTACAGTTTGAAAACTACAGCTCCAGGCCAATCTTAGGAATTTGTATTCTTCATGGTCCATTTTTTTTTTCAAATTGAGATACTATTTACATACAGTAAACATTTACCCTCTTTAGTATCCAGTTCAACTCACACAGTCGTGTAACCATCACCCTAATCAAGATATAAAATAGATCCATTCATCCACCCCCCCAAAAAATTTCATTGTGCCCCTTTGGGGTCACTTCCTTCCCCAACCCTCAGCCCTTGAGAATCATTTCTCAGTTTTCTTTCCCTGGAATTTTACCTATTCCAAGATGTCATACAAATGGAATTATGCAGTTGGGTTTTTGATCCAGATTTCTTTCACTTAATATAATGCATTTGAATTTCATCCATGTTGTGTGTATCAGAAGTTTGTTCCTTATAGAATTCTATCTTTAAGGATAACACACTTTTATACCCAAGGTATACTGAGCTTTAAAATGAATACTTTAAAAAACTAGAACATTCTAGTTGAGTATGTCTTGGGATCTAGCTGGATTTCTAAGCTCTTTTTATTTTCAAATTGATGCTATCCCCAGGTGCCTGTTTGTCATCCTGGAAAAATACTAAAAGGACTGCAATTTGAAGGTTAGCTGCAATAAAGGCAGCTTCCTTACCTGTGTCTTCAAGGCATGATGTCAAAAAAACAGCAATATACTATGACTTCATTGTGTAACTGTTGAGAGTAAATGTTTCCATTGTTGATGAATGTATTTGAAATGGGTTTATTCTGACCCAAACTTGAGGATTAAGCCTGGAATACCCATCCTCAGGAGATTCTGAGAATGTGTGCCCTCTGTGGTTGAATGGTGGCTTGGTTATATATATTTTAGGAAGGCAGAAGTTACAAGAAACCATAAATCAATACATGTGATATTTTCATTGGTTTGGCCCAAAAAGGAGGGACAGTTCCAAGGGGAGGGGATTTCTGGTTATAGGTGGATTCAAAGATTTCTTGACTGGTGATTTGTAATTCTTATTTAAGGAATTTGGGAACTCAGTAAGAGAGATGCTTTGTGAAGATAAGGGGGTGAAAAACTCCAGGTCTGTTGTTATGTAGATGAAGTCCTATATGTGGCAGACTTCTGGGAGGGTAGATAAATGTCGTACAAGGCTCTCTGGAGTCTGGGTCCATAAGAGATGGCTGTATAGGGCCATAAAGTTTCTTTGTTATGTGACATTATTCTAGAGTCAGTTTGGAAAGCAAACTTTAGGATATGGGGTAATAGGGTAATAAAATTCTCTCTGGTGAGTCCTTATCAGGCAGTGACTTCCTAAGCCTAGTAGTTAGGAATTTGGATAAGAGAAAAAAAAAAGGCCAGGTGTAGCTCTCACTATGGTCTTTGTATTCCTGTAGGCTCATCAGATTCAAGAGATGTTTCCCCAGGTTCCTTACCACCTAGTGCTGCAAGACCTCCAGCTGACACGCTCAGTCGAAATAACAACAGATAACATCTTAGAAGGACGGATTCAAGTACCTTTTCCCACACAGGTAAAACTGGGGTTTTGAAGTATGACAAGTGGATTCTGTCTGTACAAAGATTTAATCCTCTAGATTAATTTTTTTAGTTACTTGACAACTGAATATTATTTGTGACTTAATGAAGGGTTTCTGTAAACTCCCTAACTTTCCTTAAGTAATGACTCAGAACATACCCACCAAAGATAAGGATAAATGTATTTGAATACTTTTCTTACATATATACACTCCAAACCAGCCTGCCCTTGCCAGTCTAGGAAGCCATAGCATTGGTTCCTGTTGGATGATTTTTTTATGTAACAGGTAGATAATAAATATTTGGGGCTTTGTGGGCCATACATTCTCTGTTGCAACTTCTCATCTCTGCTATTATAGCACTAAAGCAGCCATGGACAATATATAAATGAAAGAGCAAGACTGTTTCAATAAAACTTTATTTGTAAAAATAAGTGGAGTAAATTTAGCCCTCAGGTTATTGCTCTGGAGATTATGCCACCTGTCCCTTGCTGTGCTCTTCCATTCGCTGCAATTCACATCTATCTGAGGTAGTATTTTTGATTTTTAAAAAGAGTCAGCTCTCCTGGCCCATCATTTGACCACAATGATGGGTATAAGAAGTTTTACTATATTATTCATGAGCTTTCTGGCAGGACCATCAACTTATATATGACCTGAGAATAATCTACAGAAGATTATTTAATTTCAGTATGTAAAAATATGTGGAAATCTATTAATAAAATTCTGAAACTTGAGACCTTTGAAGGGGGAAAAAGTGTGAACTCTGTCAAATGGGCTGAGATATTAGATATGTCTCCTTGGTTCTTAGCTGTTTGACCTGGCTGTTGGCTGTGTGTTTTCCAGAAGCAGACCCTGAGACAAGAATTTGAATGCAAATAATTAATTTAGGAAGTGATTCCAGGAATTCCTGGTGGTGGGTGGGTAAGATAGGGAAGGAAAGGCAACCAAAGAAGGGTTTGTTATTAAGCAAGTCACCGTGGGTCACTGAAGCTCCCTCCCACTTGGGACCTCTGGGATCCAGTGCAGAACATATCATCTCTCCTTAGAGATGAGGAGCTGGGGTGTTTATGCACTAATTCCTGTCATTCATAGGTTGAGGGCTATCTCTGGGGATGGCAAAGTTACCTTGTGCAGCCAGAGAAAGTCTCAGGCAATGAACTGCAGAAACCAACCAGCAGGCACTGGGGAGTGTGGGCCAGACCTCAAGGTATCTGCAGCATTGTATAGGATGTTAATGGCTAAAAATGAGAATGGCAGTACCTGTTTCATAGGATGTTAAGAAGATAACTGAGACGGTCTCATCCTGGTTTTCTTGGTGCCAAGCACAGAGTTTGGTGTTCAGTCAGTGTTCTCTGCTGCTGTCATCATTGTTTTTATTGTACAGTTACTATTACTGATAGGGAAACTGAGCGTGGAGCCCTCTGCTGACTCTCAGACCTGAAACTCTAGTTGAGGCCTCAGGCTCCTTTGTCTCGCCTTTAATCATTGTAGCATTTTAATTTCTTTGATGCTGCAGATTTAAAGTTACAGGCTGTGTTGGGCACTTGGCTCCCTCCACAAGCCAGGGTTTCCTTGTATTTACTGTGTATTTGGTTTCTGAATGACTGTGGACTGCTTGTGGTACTGTTTTCCTTTCAGCGGTCAGACAGTATTAGACCTGCATTGAACAGTCCTATGGAAAGGCCAAACAATGACCAGGAAGAGGGAGAAGTTTCTACTCAGGTAAGAGCAGCTCATTAGTGAGAGTGAGTCCATGGCATAGTGGAGGGGTAGGGTGGTCCCTGGCAGTGGACTTTTTCAGTCCGTGGACTTTTTCAGTCCCGATACTTGTGAAGCTTAGGGCAAGAGTACAGCCGGGTGCGGTGGCTCATGCCTATAATCCCAGCACTTTGGGAGTTCGAAGTGAGAGAATTGCCTGAGCCCACGGGTTCAAGACCAGCCTGGGCAACTTGGCGAGACCGCATCCCTACCATAAATCAAAAAAATTAGCTGGGCATGGTGGCGTGTGCCTGTAGTTCCAGCTACTTGGAAGGCTAAGGCAGAAGGATAGCGTGAGCCCAGCAGGTCGAGGCTGTGGTGGCTGGGAATGTGCCACTGCCCTCCAGCCTGGGTGACAAAATGAGACTCCAACTAAAAAAAAAAAAAAAAACGAAAAAGAGTACAGGAGAAGGCTGTGCGCTATATCCATCCCAACAGTAAAGGTGAATAAATCAAGCTGTGCCCGTGGTGTAGTCTGTGTTTCTACCCAGATCTTGCAGCCCATTCCCTAGAGATTGCCCTCCTGCCTGGGAGGAGGATGGAGTCGTGCTCCCCAAGCCAGCCCTGTCACCTTGAACTTAGGTGGGAGCCCAAGGAAGGGCAGAGGAAAGCTGGGTGCAGGACTCTGAGCATGCCTAGACCCATTCAAACCCAGATGGGGTTGGACTGGGGCAAACTCTCTAGGGAGCTAAGCCATGATGCTCTCCCCGTACCTCACTTGTCCAACTTAGGATTTCCAGGTACTTTCAACATTTTGCACAAATGAGACCCTGAGCCAGGTGGGGAACAGGGGAAGCATGGCTATCTTGTAAACCAGATCTGTCTAGATACCCACTTTGGGTGATTTGGGGTGGCTACCCTAAGCAAAAGCAGCTCCTCTGTCTGGTGTCCAGAACAAAGGCACACTCCCCTGTGCCATTAGCCTTATACCCTGAGACTCTTCTGTATTCCCATTTGCTTAATCAATTATCATACTTTCAAAGCACTTTCTTATAAGACCAGAAATAAAAACCAAAGAGCCCTTTCTTTGTGTTTTCATGTTTGTGATGTGTGGGACTTCCTATACACAGGCTGGGGTCTGGGGTGGTACTGCCTTCCTTAGCGGGGTAGGCAGGGCTCTTCTGGAAGCAGTGACTTTCACTAAGTGACACAGGGGCTGCTTTCACCTCTTGTGTTTTTCCCTGTGAATAGAAAACGGTAGAAGTGATTAGGACTTCTTCAAGTCTGTTGCTGGGTGAAAACGTTCATATCCAAATCTGTGGATGAATTGTGCATCATTTGGAAAACGGTGCATGGCTTCCGAAGCAGGAGTCCATTTCTGCATTTCCAGCGTTTGGATCACTGGCTTAGCTGAGATGAGAAGCAAAAGTAGCTTGGGGGCAACCTGGGCACCTCACGTTCAATCTCTCTTGATTCCTCACCTCTGCTTTTAGAGTTAGTGTGAAGGTTTCTGGATTTTTTTTTTAATACGGTGGAGGAAAGTAGTTATTTCACAAAGAAGCTTTCTATAAAACGTTTTTGGTCATTTTTCAGGAAATACAAAGTCCTTGGGTGACAGTCAGTTAATGAAGGCCTCAGTCTAGCCCAGTAAGCTTCTCAACCCCATGCTTCCATCAGTTCTGAGTCTCTGCCCTACTCAGACCCGTGGCAGTCGGGCTTAGAAGCTGCAGCAGGGCAGGGGTGGAAGTTGGGCCTCTGTTTTCTTTTTTCCGCCTCCTCTTACTAGCTGTTCTTTCCAACCTGCTCTAGGATGAAGCTCAGGGAAGAGGGTTAGGATGGGACGAGGAAACCCCAGCCTGTGTGTGTGTGTGTGTGTGTGTGTGTGTGTGTACGTACTTGTTATCTCAACTATTTCCCTGCCCCATCTTGCTCCAGAAACATCCTCAAATATACTTCCTTTGAACTTGGGCTGGCTATTTATGGCCACCCCTGCCTCCTGGGAGGCTCAAATTACCTTGCCAAGTGGTCTTTTCGAGCAGTCTATTTTCTGCAACTTTAGGCTGGATCCCTCCTGCAGGACCCCCATCTAAGCCCAGGACACACACAGCATTGCCTACAGTCAGTGGGAGTCAGAGAACTCGCTCCCCTCACAGTTCCCTCTTCCCATTTATTTGCTTTCTACAGCCAGTTTCTTTCCTTAGATTTCTCAGGTATGTCACCAGTCCTCATGTCCCCCAAACTCTAGAGGATACGAGTCAGGCTCTGCACATGGCTCTCTTGACGGCCCCCTCTTGGGCCTAGCTGAAGGCAGGAAGCAGTAGTGAGGGTGGGGATGTAAATGCTCTGTACACCAGGAACTCTGAAATACACTGCATCCATCTCCACCATCATAGCCTTGAGATGGGCAGTGGGCTGACAAGAGCCGGCCTAGGTCTACATCTGCAGCATGAGCAGTACAGATGGCCAGGCACCTGCCAGGATGTGGAGATGCCTGGCCATTGTCATGGCCTTTGGAGAAGAGTCTCATTTTAACATCCAGTTACATAAGGAGCCACGTGATCTGTTCTATCTGTTTTTAAACTACAATCCTTAGCATCTACCTTTTTTACATGCTTGACTCTGTCTTCAGAATCAAGTGAAGGTCTGAAGTTTGTGTAGAAGATGTGATAAGATTTGTTTAAATTTTTTATCAATTAGTAGAACTGTACAGAAAATTCCCAGAATGCAAACTAGCAGTTAACTTTTTGTTACCATACTCCAAGAGTACAGTTTGGAGGTATTTCTGTATTTCATGCTGGCAATCATCTACTTACTCCACTGATACTGAGCATTTCATATGAGTCAGGTCCTGTTCTTGGTGCTATCCAAGCCGGATCAGCAGGCCGCCCTCAAGATCTCTACTACACTAAGCTTGTGCTTCCCATTCTGTGTCCAGGCCCGACAGCCCTCCTCTCTTGGAGTCCAGAAGAGCCTTGTTTGGGGCTCCCTAGCTAGGTGAGGGACCCACTTAGGAAAGAGATCTGTGCTCACAGCTGCCCCCTTTCTCCCCCCATGTCCAGACTGAGCGTGTGCCCCTGGACCTCAGTCCACACCTGGAGGAGACGCTGGACTTCAGCGAGGTGGAAGCAGAGCCCAGTGAAGTGGAAGACTTCGAGGCTCGGGGCAGCCGCTTCTCCAAGTCTGCTGATGAGAGGCAGCGCATGTTGGTGCAGCGTAAGGATGACCTCCTCCAGCAAGCTCGCAAGTAAGTTGATTCCCCAGCCCCATTTGGCATAAATCTCGGGTCAGAAACCAATGGCTGAAGGCCGTTGTCATGTCCAGCCCACTCCTGCTCTTTTTTTTGAATTGGAATCTCACTGTCACTCAAACTGGAGTTCAGTGGCATGGTCATGGTTCACTGCAGCCTTGATCTCTTGGGCTCAGGCAATCTTTCTGCCTCAGCCTTTCCAGTAGCTGGGACTACAGGTGTGCGCTACCACGCCTGGCTAATTTTTTGACTTTTTTTGTGGAGATGAGGTCTTGCTATGTTGCCAAGGCTGGTCTCGAACTCTTGGGCTCAAGCAGTCCTTTCACTTTGGCCTCCAAGTACTGGGATTACAGTCATGAGCCACCATACTGGACATATCTGCTCTTTTTAAACAGATGTCCACATTGAAAAGCCATTGTGTGTCACCTAAAAATTCAGCTTCTCCTGAAAAAACAAAAGCATTTGGCAAACCCTGGGTCCAACTGATAGCTTCCACTGCTGGTGCTGTCAACATCTTCAGCCATGCTTGCACAGAGACTGCTTGTATGCCAACATGTTCTAAGCCCTTTGTTAATTATTTTAACAACTCCAAGAGGGAGCACGGTACACCCATTTGGCAGACTGACAACTGAAGAAACTGAGGTCTAGGGAGGTTAACACTGGCTTGACCCTGGACTCTGGCTCCTAAGTCCTCCCTCTCAACCATCTGCCTTTCAGTTCCACATTGTGAACACAGACTGCACATCTATGTGTCACACTCTCCACAGTTGGTGGCAGCTGGAGCCTGTGGATGAGAGTTTCTGTTTCAAGTCTGGAGGGCAGGGCCAGTGTTGTGTTCGTTCGGTTGGGTTTTGGGTTTGCAGACCTCTGATCATGGGACTTGGTGCTGCGTCCGTGGGTGGAGGGGATGGGCAGAGGAGAGGAAACACTGAGCAGACCTTGATGGGCTCCCCCCATGCAGGAGAACTTCCATTCAGAGAGACCTCTTTTTCATGGGATAGTGCTGAGGGACAGCTTCATGAAGGTGCCTGGGAAGCAGGGAAATTGAGAATAAAGAGGTATTCTGTATGTGTCCCAGAGCTTCCCACCTTTCTCACATGATTCTTGTTTTTTACAGGCGTTTCTTGAACAAAAGCTCTGAAGATGACACAGCCTCAGAGAGCTTCCTGTCCTCGGAAGGCACAACCTCCGACCCTGTGACCCTGCGTCGAAGGATGCTGGCTGCTGCCGCCGAACGGAGACTTCAGAAGCAGCAGACCTCCTAGCGCTCCCTGGCCTTCCTCCGGAGCCCTGCACCCGACCAGAAGAGGCCTGGCCCGGTTCTGCCTGCTGTGTGGACAAGCGGGCTTGACTGCATTGCCGCTGTTATAAAGCATGTGGTCATAATAGTGTTTGGACAGCTGACAAATTTAATCCTTTGTAATACTTTCTATGTGACATTTCTCTTCCCCTTAGAAACACTGAACATTTTAACTCTAGGCATGATCTTTTCTGGCGTTGACTGGACTTTTGGTGGGTGGGGGGCTATCAAGAGGAAGTGGCAACCACCTGCCTGCGGCAGGCAGCTTCAATTAACTGCTTTCTGCACAAGTCACAATAGATGCTGGTGTCCTGAGCACCTCTGGCGGGAGGAATGTATGTTGGGAGATGCTTAGGGTGGGCCTGACTCCACGCCAGGGGGTGACAGCTATTGTCAGCCTGCTGTCCTTGGGGAAGCATACAGAATGTGCCAGAGGCCAGACCCACAGGCTGTTGGACTCCTGAGTCACAGGGCATCTTGGTAAAGAACTCTTGGTTTGATACCTGGAACAGAGGAAAAGAAAGCCAGCACTGTAGAGGGTGAGGAAGTGTGACCCCTTACTGTCCCATTACATCTGGGACCAACTTTCGGAGCCCCTATTCCAAAGCTGGCTTGATTTCCGTTAACTCTGGTGCTCTTGCATCTCATGAGTGTACCCTGTGTGTCTGTCTTCTGCATTTCCTGCCCCCTCTGAACAGGGCACAGGGTGAAGCAGCAAGCTTTGATTTATGGTTTTCATTCCTTGGTCAAGTACAGTGGCAATGCCAAAACCTGTGAGTTTGGTCCTTGGAGAAGATGTAGGCTTTGCAAGATGAAAGAGTGAATTTTGGAGGACTTTACTGAAGAAATAAAAGATAATTTTGTATCTTCCCTGGAGCCCTTCATTTGCATAACTTTGTTTTTATTGGTTTAATTAAACATAGAAAGGTAAGGTGTTGAATCCACATGCCATGGAGCAGACCCAGGTCTCTAATCTTTTCAAATTTTTCACACACTTAACTTTAAGGATTTGAAACACACAATCATAGGTTACAGAGTTGTTTTATGTCCCATTGGATTAAGTTTTGTTTTGTTTTTTAACTGGAAGTATAGTTTTACAGTAGTCCTTTTTGGAATAATCCAGTATTATCCCAAATTATTGGCAAAGTAAAACATTTTACATAACTGAAAGATTTTAGAATGTTGAAAAGGAATGTTGAAAAAAGGGTGATAGGTAAATATTTAGGCAGAAATAATTTATTTCAATAAATCTTTCAAAAGCCTTACTTTGAAATGCTGTTAGTAAATTTCTGTGATTTTTAAAAAAAATTTGTTTTGCTGAGAGCATAGCTATTTGTTTTTATTGTAAGCAATAATAAAAAGGAAACTCTTCTAGTGTGTTGTGTGTGGCTGAAAGCTAAGTTGGCTTTTTTCAGTGGTGCCAGCTTTGAGTCCTGTTTTGATTTTGATGTTGTGTGTACCATTTTGGTTGGTGGGGGGTTTCATCCTTTTGAATTGGGAAATGTTATTTTTGCCTAGTACTATATTTGGAAAATGCATCACTGAATTCTTCTTTCTGCGTATTTATTTCATTTTTTTAAGGTAAGTGGGGAAAACAAGGTTATTTACCTTTCCTTTAATTATGTTATACTTTGCACATTAAAGGTGACACTAACTCCATGTGTTCTGATGTTTCAGATATGAAAAGATAATTGTTTAGAGTCGATTTTAGAGAGTCTTGAAGTATTGGAATACGGTAGTATCATTTGTCAATGATCAGAGCGGGAGAAACGCCTTAAGTAGCTTAGAAGGCTCCAAGAAGAGAAGTCCTCAGTCCACCCCTAGATTTGACACTTGGACAGTTAAGGATTCTGGGCACTAGAGAAGTTTCCTGGCTTTCATCCCTTCCTGGGGGGGTCTTTGGGACAGGTGCTGAGGGCAGTGGCAGTTACACTGGGTGGACTCCCCATCCCAGGACCCCTTTCCCTGCCCTGGCTGGCTGCAGAACTGTAGCTGGCCCTGCTGCTCAGCGCCTGGAGTTGAGAGCTAAAGCAGGCTACAGGTCCAGGATTGTGAGCACAGCACAAGGAGCAGCCGGGCCCACTGGCGAGGGGCGGTTGGGTTGCCCTTATCCTCTCTGGGCTGTTTGGAGTCGTCTTTGACGCTCCATTTTCCTACTGGCCTTTTTCTTTCCTTCCCCCCACCCCAATTTTGAGGCTTTAAAATACCATAGAGAATGCTGGCCCAGGTGGCTGTTTTACTTGTGTTGGTATGAACCCTAGGTGTTCAGGTGACCTCTTGGATCTGATTTCCCTCTTTCGCTGTATAGACAATGTGCTCTTTCATCTGTAGCCAGCAGACTTGGTCTTCTCTGTGATGGAACTTTGCCGCCACAGGACAGGAGTCTCAGTGCTCTGCAGAAGCTGGGCACACACGTGAAAGATGCCTTACTGATGAGCTTGTCAACTAATAGTGCCAGCCTGCCCTGGAAAGTCCTTGGTCTCAGAAGCCGCCATCTTGCATGGCTCCTGCTTTCCGCTAGGTTGGAAGTGGCTCCAATCCTGGCTGCACAGTAGACTCACGTGTGGAGCTTTAGGTAGTAGTAACCACTTACCGTAAACCACTGCTGTCAGACACTTCTAAGACCGGAATTCTCAGCAGTGGCTGCCAGTCACTGTACACACCAAGGTCAAGTTCTTCCCTGCAGTAAAGTCATCTCTGTTGCCCCCAGGGGTCAAGGAGATCAGGTAATGCCATACAAAAGAGCAGAGTTTTGGACTTGAGAAGAATCAGTCCACTTACAACTCTTGGGATTCCATGGGGGAAAACAAGGCTCCTCCCCGAAGAGGAGGCTGGGTGCCTTTTCTGTTTTCCTTAGGGGATCTGAGTCATTAGAAGTCCCCTCTGCATCTTGTCATGTGGTGCTGAAGATAGCAAAGAGGAGCAGAGCCGTGAAAGAAATGGGAGAACGAGTCTTAGGAAACCAACAGAGGGACTAAGCACATTTTTTTTAAAGAAAGGAGCGTCAGTCAACTGAAAAAAACAGGATCCAAAAAGAGAAAAGGCAGAAAGGCCTTTAAATAACTGTATAAATCTATTTATTGAGCAGCAGCTTTTAATTAAGCTGACTTCTAACCATAGAGCTCTTAAAAAATCCTTTCAAATCTCTTATCAGATTTTAGCTGGGGCAAACAGCTGATATTTCTGGCTTTCGAATCTTTTTAACCAAAAATATCCTCCCAAGTGGCAAAGAAGTACCCAAAAAGTCAGTAAATAAACCAGAAGGGACTGGTTCCCTAACCAGGAGTTGAATCTGGGCTGTAGCAGTGAGAGTGCAAATTTTGGCCACTAGCCCACAGAGTGGAGTTGGTCTTTAAAAAAAATCTTGCAGGGGATCCAAAGCAGGCTGTTTACACAGTTAAAGATTGTAACTTGGTTCAAGTCTGATGTCAGTTGGAATGTTGCTCAGCTAATTCCCTGGATGTTAGCATTTCAACGTCAGTGTCAATCTTCAGTCCTGTTTTAGGATCTGCTTTTTTTATGATCTCGGTAGTTTTGTTTGCATTCATTTCCCCCTTTTATACTATTACTCTTTTAAAGACCTGTTTTATTGCCCTAAGCAATTGTCAGCAACAGAGATGTGTTTTGGAGACCAATCTTAATAGAACCAGGACCCCAGCACTGTGGCAGGGGAAGTCAGAGTCCTAGGGAATTTCCTCAGGTGGTGAAGATGGGACACCTTTTTGTTTACCTTCTAATGCAGATCATTTTCTCAGATTTTCTTTTAGGAGCTTTTAAGGGGCCCTTGGGAGTAAGTCTCCGGTTCTGAAACCAGGTTTTCCATTGTGTGCACAGATTAAACTATCTGGGGCAGGGGAGAGGAATCACCTGTGGAACTTTTACACGTGTCTGTTCTGCCCACACTCCTTGCTCTAATTTAATTGATCTTTTCCCTGCATCCTTTCCAAAAAATGCTTTCTGACATCCCTTTTAAGAAAGATTAGGTGGCCAGGCTCGGTGGTTCAGCCTGTAATCCCAAAATTTTGGGAGGCTGGGGCAAGTGGATTGCCTGAGCCTGCAGGTTTGAAACCAGCCCGGGCAACCTGGCAAGACCTCGTCTCTACAATAAATCAAAAATTAGCCAGCGTGGTAATCCGTGTCTGTAGTTTCAGCTACTTGAAAGGCTGAGGTGGAAGGATCGCCAGAACTCAACAGATCGGCAGTGAGGTGGCCATGAGTGTCACTGCACTCCAGTCTGGGCAATGGAGTGAGGCTCCAACCCAAAAAAAAAAAAAGATAAGGCAAATAAACTTCTGTTGGTCTTAACTACAAAACTCATGTGAAAGTTAGGAAAGAACCCTATTAGAATATGCTCTCCCTCCTCTTTTTTTTTTGAGTCAGGATCTCACTCTGTTGCCCAGGCTTCAGTGCAGAGGCACAATCATGGCTCACTGCAGCCTCAATCTTCTGAGCTTAGGCAATCCTTCTGTCTCAGCCTCTCGAGTAGCTGGGACTACAGATGTGTGCCACCATGCCCAGAAAATTTTTTGATTTCTTATAGAGACAAGATCTTCCTGTGCTGCCTAGGCTGGTCTTGAACTCCTGGGCTCAAGCAATCCTCAAGACTGAAATCCTGTCATGGCCTTCCAAAGTGCTGAGATTACAGATGTGAGCCACCGCCCGGCAATGGTTTATTTTAGAGAAATTCGGGTATGCCATTATGTAGAAAATGTCATGGTTTCCTTCAGCCTTCCATTGGGATCTTGTTAGTCACTTGGAACCGGTGTTATGAAGTCAAGTTGTGGCCTGAATTGCAAGCCTTTCCATCAGTAGAAATGGTAGGTGTGTATCTCCTTCTGCAGATGACAAGTTGGGGTGAGGGAACTAGAGGGAGAAGCACTAGAAAAGAAGTGTGTCCTTGCAGAGGAGGTCTAAGGGGTGCCCGAGGTGATTGGTTGGCTATAACAGCAAGGAACATGCCTCTTATTCCACAGTCTGAAACAGTATCGGGCTAGGTTTGGTGGTTCATGCCTGTAACCTCAACACTTTGGGAGACTGAGACAGGAGAACTGCTTGATTCCAGGAGTTTGAGGCCAACCTGGCAACATAGCAAGACCTCGTCTCTACAAAAATTTAAAAGAATTAGTTGGGTATGCATCTGTAGTCCCCAGTAAATCAGAAGGCTGAGGTGGAAGGATTGTCTGAGGCAGGAAGTCAAGGCTGCAGTGAGCTGTGATTGTGCCACTGCACTCCAGCCTGGGTGACAGACTGAGACCATGACTTAAAAAAACAAACAAAACCAGTAACCCTACCTCCACCCCCACAAGATTCAAAAGACTGCTAGAACTTGCCGGAAAGAGGCCTTTCTGAGTTGATAATTCCCATTTGTTGGGGTGTGGAAAGGATTCCAGTTAAACGACCTCTGAGTCTCTCCCATCTCACTAAAGATGGCATGATGTGGCATTTGGCAGCTCAGCTAACAAGTGGCATGTAGATATGATACAAGGGTTTTAGTGGGCAACTGTTTCCTCCAGATCCCAGTCCCAACTGACTTGCTAGTTAACACAGCAAAAGCTTGGCAGTCGGAGAGAGATGTGAGACCCACATCCCGAGGAGCCAGGAGTCAGACTCCATGCGCCAGCCATCCTGTGACCCTTGTACTTGGTCTGCAGGAGGCTTCCTGGCACCCAGGTGCAATGGGGGAAGCAAAGCCGAAGGAAATCTTCCCGGCCAGTCTGGTCCTGACATGCCTTTGGCAGGTGAGTGGGTGTGCCCCTTGGGTGCAGAGGACCAAGGCCTCATTCTCGGGCCCACCCATTGTGGTGGAACCACAGGGTATGGAAGAAATGGGATCCTCTATGAGCAGGACACGGGGATTGCCAGCCCTCCTTCCACTTTTCCCCTTTCTAGTCCTCAGTTCCACCTCACTCCGAAAAGCAAGCAAAACCGGGTGAGGGGGAGCAGGGACCTGGAAGGGCAGGGAGCAGCCCACTGTCTCTAAGTTGGCGCCCCTGCTGACAGCACTGAGGGGACGTGGGGAAGGGCCTTCGGGGGACTCCTTACCCACTGGCTTCCAGTATTTGCGGCCGAGTCAAGTCCTTCCTTCCCTTTCCTGTCAGAACAAAGCCCACCCCCATAACCATCGTCTGGAAGGCAGAGGGTGAGACTCAGGAGTACAGACAAACATTCTCTTTATTGAGCTACACATGAATTTTCCATTAGTCAGAGAAGTAGACTGGCAGTGTGTAAGATATCACAGAAACCTCACCGATTGGGAATAGAAAGGCTTAGAAAGACCCGTGGGCTATTTTTTTTTCTTTTTTCCTTTTTTTTCCAAGTTTTTTTTTTTTTTAATTTTTTGTGTGTTTTATCTTTTTGCCTCCTTTTTATTTGAAATGGCTGTGACTGGTCTTTTTCGGCAAATATGAAGTCTTAAAAGTGAAACTGTGAAGAGGTTTGGGGTTTGGATACTAGTCAAAGTAGAAATGACATAGGACTGCTCATGAAAACTGTGGCTTTAATGTAAACACTACATTCCATCTTTTTTAAAATTTTTTTTGTGTTTTTTTCCA